TGTTCGTGAAGCCCTGTTTAAGGAGAAAAAGTGGGCTGAAGTTGCTTCAGTCTTGCCTAGGGTTGCCAGATACACGGGTACTAAAAGGAGGACATAGAAAGACAAAAAGGAGGACATATTGAATGTTTCATTTGAATCATTCCAGATTAAACCCACAATCAATACAATTTTATTACAATAGCTGCCAATAAATGTCTCTTAGTGAACTGACCAAGACACAGTCATGTTAAAAATTAAAAATAAATTCAATGGAGGCTTTTTTTTTTTCAAAATACCGGGGGTGGGTGGGCAGGTGGGGGCAGGGAAAGCCAGAGGGAAGGGGGTCCTTCTACCTCTCCCACTCCCATCCAAAATTATAACATAAAATATACGAAAGCCTGACATTTTAAAGGTTTTTATCTTTGCCTGCCTGACGGAGGACATTAGGCTAAAAAGGAGGACATGTCCTCCTTTTGCCTGACATCTGGCAACCCTACACTGGACTGTGTTTTGGGAGGACGAGTCTCTGTCTCAGTGTGTTTGTGGGTCTGAAGTGCACAGGTATGTGGTGTTTACCAAAAATCCTTTTGAGCTCTTCAGACACACCCGCTATGTAAGGAATCACCAAGTTCTTCCGTCGGCTCTGGGTCTCTTTGCCTGACATCTGGCAACCCTACACTGGACTGTGTTTTGGGAGGACGAGTCTCTGTCTCAGTGTGTTTGTGGGTCTGAAGTGCACAGGTATGTGGTGTTTACCAAAAATCCTTTTGAGCTCTTCAGACACACCCGCTATGTAAGGAATCACCAAGTTCTTCCGTCGGCTCTGGGTCTCAGACTGTTCCAATGTCTTCCTGAGTCGGGACATGGCCTTGTTAAAGGCCTATTTTGGATATCCACAGGCCTTAAGGGTCGTGGTTTTCAACTATCTGTCTTCCTTCTTCTTGGCTTCTGTGGAGGTGGGGATGTTTCTTGCTCTGTGGTTTAGCTTCCCGATGACCCGTAGTTTGGGTTGCAATGGGTGACGAGCATCAAACAGCGTGTATTGATCAGTGTGTGTAGGTTTTCTGTAGATTTCTATTCCTAAGCTGTCATTGGATCCAGTTATGACTGCACTGTCCAGGAAAGCCAGTTGCTTTTCTTTGGTGTCTTCCCTGGTGAATTTGATATTTGGGCCCACTGTGTTTATGTGGTCTGTGAAGGCCTGTACTTCCTGAATCTTGATCTTCACCAATGTGTCATCCACATAACCTGAAACAATGGGTCAAAGTCGTCCCCTAGAAGGTGTTTAGTGCCTTCTTTTCCATTTCTTTCATGTATAAGTTGGCAACAATGGGCGACACCAGGGGAACCCATGGCAACAGCCATGTTTCGGTCTTTAAAACTCACCTCTGTGGGTGAAGTAAATGGTGGTCCAGGAGCAGCCATATCTGGTTCGGGTTGAGGCTGCTTCTGGTGGAAAGGGTGTTGTCTTCTTCCAGATTAATTTTTACAGTTGTTAGGGCATCAGGGGTGGGAATGCTGGTGAAGAGGGGTGTGACACCAAAGGATACCATGGTTTTGTCAGTATTTAGTTGCAGTTCCCTGACCTTGAACGCAAACTCCTCTGAGTTGTGAATGTGGTAGTCCCGAGTGTCCAATCAACGGTGCTGAGATGCTGGCCAGGTATTCAGCAATGTTGTATGTTACTGGGTTTATGTTGATGATGATGGCTCTGAGGGGGGGAGGGGCTTTTCCAAGTGTCTAAAGCATTCTGTCGCTCTTTTGCTGTAAATGTCGCTGGGTCCCTTTTCAGTTTCTCATATGTGTGTTGATCTTCCAAAAGTGAGTTTACTTTTCTGTGGTAATCCGTAGTGTTGAGGATGACCGTGCATCTTCCTTTGTCTGCGGGCAGATGGTGAGGGTTTCATCCCTGCTGAGGGATGTCAGAGCACTTCTTTCCTGTCTGGTGAGGTTGGATAGTGGCGGTTGAGCACTGCGAAGTGTTGCAGAAACTACAATTCAGAGTTGTTCAGCTTCTGCCACTGGTAGTTGTTCGGGATTGCTGGATTCTGTGGCTATAACGAAGTCCACAACCTGAATCTGTTTGGGTGTGATGGCAAAATTTAGGCCTTTGACTAAGACTTCTCTCTCTGACCGAGTGACTTCTCTGTCTAAGAGAGTTTTCACCCATTTGTCCTTGGTGTCCTCCACTGTAGTCCCATCATCCTTCCAGTTCCCCTGCTGTCTGTTTTCGGAAAACATGAGTATCCCATCTCCCAGAAAGATAAGGACCACACACACCAGAAAGGTCACTGTTAATGACCATTAATGACCCATGACAACAGGTTGAGAAGGACTGCAGAAGGGGGATTATCACTCACTCCCAGTCCTTTGTCCATCTGAGGAGCCTATTCAGACCAGAGGGAAGGGAAACCAACCTGGAGGATAGATCAGGGGTCTCCTATCAACTCTCCTCAGACTGAAGCTACCTAGATGAGTAACAAAATGTTTCAACCTAATAAATCCAGTTGCCATGACTCAACTTCTACATGTTACTGTGTAGAATAGATTTATCTGTAAGATTTGGGATTACAGTCTCTCTTGAAGACCTTGTATGTCAGGACAGGAGATAGAGATGAGGTTTTAAACAAAACAAAACAAAAAAGGATATTTATAGTTTGTATTCAAGTGTTTGTATCATGGTAATACCCCCCCTTTCCTCTCAGAAAGCAAGCCTTTGCCTTAGGCTTTGTCTTACTGAAGTTTTTAAAATCCCCAACAGATGAGTATTTCAGATTTAAATGAGCCATTTAAATACACCAATAAATTTTCAGGCATGTATTAAAACAGTATCCAAACCAGAGGTGCTGCATGTTCAAGTAAGAGCTGATTTTAGGCCCTGCCTATACTCAAGACCAAACCAGCATAGAAACTGTGTGTCAGCAGAACTTGAGTTACAACAGGCTCAAAGGACACATCCACATTCCATTTAAACCAGCTGAGTCTGATAATGACAATAAAATGAGAAATTTACAATCTTAACGAAAAGAACAGTGTTTACACATCTTCCATTATCACCACTGTGGCACTTCCGGTCTAGAACAGAATTCTCCAATTGGATTTCCAAGATGGAGCACATAAATTTTAATCAGACAGCAACACCACTCTATTGCAGTATTAATGGCCAAGCAGACAAAAACTGGTCATCACACCTGCTCCCTGACTTAGTAAGGGCAAGACACATGCCATTCAAATGCTCTGGAGCTCCAACTTAACTTAAATCTGCCTTTGCAGCCTGTCTTAGTTTGAGCAGACATTTATAATCTATGCTTTTGGTCCCAATTTATGACCGTAGATACTTCTTCTAACTTTAACTGTATTTTTTTTTGTGGACTGTTAGTGCCGAGGCCCAGTATGGAAAGCTGTGATCAAAACTGAATACAGTGGTGCCCCGCATGACAACCCCGCTAAATGATGAATCTGCAGGACAATGACTTTTTTGCTATCGCTATGGGGGATTTTCGCTGGATGTAGATTAGGTCCGTGCTTCACAAACCGTTTGTTCGCAAGACAATTTTTCCAGCTGATCGTCAGGTTCCTAAAATGCCTGCCCTGTTTTCTGGACCCGTGCTTCGCAGGGCAGCCATTTTAACAGCTGATCGCCGCTCGGAAAATGGCTTCCCTATGGGCGATCTTCCCTGGATGACGAGGTAAATTCCAATGGGGAATTGTTTTTCACATGACGATTTCGGCGATTTCAGGGGAATGGATTATCGTCGTGATGCAGGGCACCACTGTTTATAACAGCAACAGCCACTAGCTGGGTAATCCTAAATTACCTTCATCCAACTCCACATAAGCAAGCAATGGGGCTGACGGATGGAGCACTCCATCTATTGTGTTTGTTAGAAACAAAGCACGCATTTACATCGTAATTTACCAGCACCTGGCATCTTCTGGATCCCGTGTCATAGTGAACAGCAATGGACTGGAACTCAGGAGACCTGGCTTTCAATCCCCATTTGGCTGCAGAAACTCACTGGTTTGTGAGTGTGGAACTGGCAAAACCACTCTTTAAATTTTTCACTTACCTTGGAACCCATATTGATATCACTATAATTCAGTCCCGGCTTGACAGCGCTTTTTTTCCCTGGCAAATATATAGTCTTTGTAAGTTCATCAGCAAAGCTAACAATCCCAGATATGCTAATATTCCTCACTAGGAAGTTTTTCTTTTGCCTAGGGTGAAAAGCATGTAATCAAGGCATGGATTGTATTTAATCCTCCCTACTGAATGTTGTTCTTAGCATTGTACTGTGTTTATTTTATATGGATGCTTTTATTTTTCTAGCACACTAGTTTCACTGCAAGAATTTTAAGCAGATTCAATCTCCATCAGTCTGTGCTATTCCAACAAAACTCACACACAATGTAGGCAACCCCCAGAAGAAAAAGCTCACATTCTACGAAATGAAGCCACGACAGCCAAGGCTATTCACAAGACTAGTTTAATTAGACACCCATAAGTGCTGGGCTCTTTATTACAAAAAAAAATTAAAATAAAATAAAGAGGGTATCAAAGGGAAGGAGGGAGAATAAGCCACAGCTAAAACGTTACCAGCCTTTAACTATTTGTTTACCTGCCAAAAGATACCAGCTGGGACAGGGTATTAATTTTGACATGCAGACAAAATTAAAAATGATGGGAAACACACACATTAAGAAAAACAGAACAGTCTCTATGTCATGAATGGGCATACAAAAGCATGTGTGTTCAGTCCCCAGCCCCTGGAGCTTATTTTCTTCTTAGAAAACAAAACGTAATTTTAAATGCCGGAAAATCACAGAGTGCCCCACCAAAACTCCTCCCTCTTTTGTGCTCCCCATCACAGGAGGCAGACCACCGGGGTAGTGCTAATGTAAGGATGAAGTGGGCAATGCCAGTAACTGGAGTCCCAAGATCTTGCTGGCTGGGCAGGCAGGCTGTAGAACTTCATCCCAAATCAGGTCTCTTGCGGAGACACCAGCAGGGGAACCTTTCCTATCTTCTTAGCACCAGCTGAGCAATGGGACTTCCGCCCTAAGGTTCTCTTAGGACTTTGGGGAGCGCAGAAAGTCTGTTGAGGTTGGTTCCATCTCCACGAAGGACAGCCTAAGGGACAGAAGCTCTTCCATCCCTACCCACAGGAGTGGAGTGTGATTGTGTATTCCAGACTGTCAAATCACCTCAATCCCCATCAGGTGAAATTAAACGTGAAGTTTCAGGGAGGAGCGGAGGAGATCAGGAATTAAAACCAAGGTCAACGTAGAGAGGCAGAGTCCCCTTTATCGGGTCTGTTCAACTGCAAGAAACACAATGTGTGTTAGGCCTAAATAACTCTCCACACTCTGCTCTTTCTGAACACCTTTCTCACCATCCTCCCAAGTTCTGCTGAAAAGTGCCCTCTGTTACAAAACTGAACGCTCCAAACCAAGCCCACTTCCAGTTTTATAGTTTACAAGATGGATTTTAAAAAATGAAATATTAAAGGATGATTTAAAAATTATTCTTTCTCTGTAAATGTGAAAATTTAATTCTCTCTCAGAAAGTTAATCTCCAGAGTTGAGTATCTAGATTGAGTCTACACTCTTTATCGTTAAAGGAGATTCTTCTATACAAACAAAGGGCCAATTCATGAAAATAAACTGCTATCGCCATCCCATTATCAGAACTGAACCTTAACCTGTATCAGTCCTAACTCTCTCACAACTCTATTACAATAATATTCAGCGTAGTTGTATATGAACACATGCAGTGATCAGATCCCCGCTGCCGTTCTATTGGTAGTAGTACCAGTAGGAAGCTTGGTGTAGATCAGTAATTTACAGTGGGGTCTCTACTTACGAACGGCTCGACATACGAACGTTTCGACTTACGAACCGCTCTCATAGGAATATATGGACTCGACTTACGAACTTAGATTCGAGTTATGAACTCTTTTTTTCCCTTTTTTAAAAAGCGAAGTCATTTTAGGTTAAAAGGAAAAAAGAAAAAAATTTCCCCCTCTAATGGCAGAAGGCGGAATAGCAGCTTCCCATTAGTTTCTATGGACAAAAAGAGCAGATACGGATTAAATGGTTTTCAATGCATTCCTATGGGAAATGCAGATTCGACTTAAGAACTTTTCGACCTGAGAACTGCCTTCCAATACGGATTAAGTTCTTAAGTTGAGACCCCACTGTATAGTAATTTTTTTTCCATTGCCAGTTTGTTTAGGCAATCATTATTCAAATCACCATGCCTTCTTTGGACCTCAAACTTCTATCTGACTACGCTATCTCCATTAAATACTCCCTTTCTCCTCCTCCACGGGTCTTCTCAAACTACTCACTGTAGGAGGAGATGTCGATCTCATCAGGCAGCTCGCTGATGTTGACTTCAAAGCGATCCTGCACTTCATTGAGGATCTTGGCATCATTCTCATCCGACACAAAAGTGATCGCCAGGCCCTTTGTGCCAAAGCGCCCGGCACGCGCCACCTGCAGGGTCAACAAATCAAAGCAGTGAGATCCAAGGCTTCTCTGGGAGTCTCGACAAAGAGCCTCAATTTTTTTAAAAAATAGGAGACTCCACCCACTCCTTCTGATATTCAGAAGAGGACCCTAAAAAAGCAAGAGACCCTGAGAGACATTCAAACCCAGCCAGGCCAAAGGTGTTGCTCAGGGCTTCGAAAGACATCAGATCAAGTCAGAGACTCTAGTCTGAGCAAACTCATCAGCGCAACTCTACCTTGGGTGACGTCTACCCATCCCAGCTTGGGACTCTAGGATTCCTACAAAGTCAGGAGTAAACTTTTAGAGAGCCTTGCTCACCCGGTGCAGATATGTGTCCGAATCCTCCGGCATGTCATAGTTGAAAGCAATGTTAACTCGTTCAATGTCCATGCCACGTCCGAAGAGATTGGTGGCTACTAAGATACGACGCTGGAAATCCTTGAACTGCTGGTATCGTGACAACCTGAAAGAACCAGAAAACATACAGTAACACCCCTTGTCCCCTAGAGTGCCATCTAACAGCGGAATAGCTAAAGTCTCCCTCCTACTGGCTCTTTCCTAGCCCAGCAGATATCCCTGGTCTTACCTGTCTGAAAATGATCCCCTTCTATCTCAAGGACCTCCCAACTAATCTAGGAAATCCTTGTTACAACTGGGAATTTAGCCTCAAGTACCATCCCTGATATCACATAGTCTACAGGAAACACTGAAGCTACACTATATGCAACCTATATAATTAACTTGTTAACAACCCCAGAGAGTGCTTTCAGCGCTATGGGGCAGAATATAAGCAGCACACTTTGCTTTAAAGAACTTTGCTTAAAACGAAGAATTTTCTAGCTCCAGCATTTCAAGAGTGCTATGGGGCAGAATAGAAGCAGCACACTTTGTTTTAAAGAAGGACTTTGCTTAAAACAAAGACTTTTCTAGCTCCAGCATTTCAAATGGGCGAATGATTATATTTTTCTAGAATACGTACAAAGATGACATAGAATAAGATACCGAGTCATACTTAGTGGACTGTAGTCCTTAAAGCAGACCTGGGCAAAGTGCGGCCCGAGGGCCACATACGGCCCCGCGAGTCACTCCTGTCCAGCCTGCGGACAGTTTTGATCAAAACCATTTATAGCTTTTTGTCTAAAGTTGATCAGTTGCTTATCTTTAACATACCACAGAAAAACCTCTTCAGTATTTGTGAAGATTAACAAGTTTAAAATAAAAACCACCATAACATCACTCTTTCATTTTATTTTTAAGTAAAGTTGGTTCAGCCCCCAATCACAGTTCAGATTTTTCATGTGGCCGCCCTAGAGAAATTAACTGCCCACCCCTGCCTTAAAGGCTATAACCAGAACATAAATAAAACAAAGGTGGCGCTGTTTTTGCCAAATCAGAAGGCCATTCTGTCATCTGTTCCTGGGTCTAAGTACATTTTTCCAAACACAGCCTGCTGACAACCTGCAACTGGCAAGTAGATCAACCACTGCTTAGGTTTCTGCTGGGGGTCACTGCTCGGTGCTTAGAGAAGCATCACATTGAAGGCATCAGAGACTCTAGTCTGAGCAAACTCGTCATTGCAGATCGACCCCTCAGGCCAACCGCAGGTGCCCCAAACCCCCTTCCAGCAAAGGCCCCTCCTCACCTCTCTTCCTGGGGCATACCCCTGTGAATGGCAATGGCCGGGAAGTTCTGCTCCACCAGCAGCTGGGCCAGTGCAATGCAGCGCTGCACAGACTTCACAAAGATGACCACCTGGATGGGGAATGGAAGGAGTCAGCCACACACCTCTTCACTCCAGCGCGGGAGTGCCTGTGAAAGAGTCCTGTGTTCTGCCACATTTAACACATACCTTCCTGTCAATCCAATTCTCTAAACTGGCAAAATTTAGTAGTACAGAATCTTGATTCACAAGAAACAATGAAGGTACAACCAAATTGCTCCAAGCCATCTATGGCCAGTCCCTAAGTGGTTCATGGGTCATAATTATATTTGATGTCCAACCTTTTAGGACTTTTGTCAGTTTGGAGGCTAATGGTGACAACTGGGGCCCCACATTCCACCAAGTCAACCCCATTCCTCTTTAAAGGCAGAAGAGATTTTGCAACCTCTTGTCCAGGGGAAGAAAACCTCCGGCCCATCGGTTAAAAATGGTCTGTCCGGTTCCTTCTCCACTTATCCTTTTATCAGTGATCAGAAATAAGAGGAAATTTAAAGCCTGGGGAAGGTCTGCTGCAAAATGCAAACTCTAGTTTTCGAGACTGGGAAGCTGTTGCCCTGGGACTCACCCCCTAAGGAGACCTCCCACAAAAAAAATGACCTGCCCTTTGCGCCTGCCTGAACACTGCTGCGCAAGGGCAAAACGGGTCACGTTTTAACTTCTGCCCCTTTGATCTTATTCTGGCCCTGTTCTGTGCCCTCTGCCCAACGAAGCATGGACCCAATAACCTTCCCAAACTGGGATATGGCTCCAAGGGTGACAAAAGGATTCTCCCCTACTTATTCTGTCCCCTCCCTCATTGACCATCCACAACTGCGACTTTTGGAAGGCACCTGGTTGAACTCCAGAACATCAAGGAGGTCAAAGAGCTTGCGGTTCTTCTCGTTGTCTTTCAGTTTGACATAGTACTGCTGCAGACCGTGCAGCGTCAGCTTGGTCTCGTCATCCACGAAGATCTCCATGGGCTGAGAAGCAAACCCAGGGCCAGTTAGACCAGGGCAAGGCTGACCTGGGTTTGGAGGGAAGGGTTGGGGGGGATGGGGTGGGACAAGGAGCACAAACGTGCACAGCAGCATCTCTCCCTGCCACACAGATCCCCGGTTCTAGAGTCCCCTTAAAGAAACAAAACAAAAAACCCAGAAACAAAGACAGCCCTCCCCCCTTCCACTACCAATGAATGAAAGAGGCCAAAAAGCTGCCCTGCTCAGCCACAACCTCTCCCTGCAAACTGCTCTGTGAAAAAGGCTCAATCACAGCAGAACACTTTCCCTTTGCGAAGCACACACATGTTACCTCGCACCCATGGGCAGGAGGTGTTTGATTCCGGCCAGACCAACCTAATGATCGCTGTCCTAATACAGTAATCATTCTAAAAGGCTTCATCAAGCTAGCTTTGGATGATCTGAGCTTCTAAAAAACATCAATAATTAGAAGTTACAAGTCTTTCTCGAGAACACTAGATGTGCTTCCTTTTTTTCCCTCCATTTCACTGGATTTTATTTTTGAAAAAAAGCACAACTGAACTCTTCACAGGGAAAGTGATAATTTGTTCAACATCTCCAACCACATAAGCTAGACTAGCCTTTGCTATCGCACAGATGTTTCTTCCTAAGAGCACAGAACCTTTTCCAGGCTCATGTGTCACCACGGCCTGCAAATCTCAACATGCACTATTTAATGATATAAATAATGGCATTAAAGCTAAATATCTGGCAGAAGAGCGGGGAGGGGGGGAAGGGGTGGCACAGCTTCTCCTTCCCTCACATGCAACCACACAAGATTATCTTGCATACTCCTAGTCCTTCTCAGTAATTTTCCTTATCTACTTCCACAATCTGCCTCAGAAGATCACCAGCTTCAATCTCAATGTCCTCCCTACAGCGGCTACCCAAGAATCAATGGACTTCCACACCTCTCCCGGCATATGATAAAACAAGCAACCCTTACGGGAAAAGTCAGTTTCCTTCCCTCCCGCCACAGGGATCTTCTACTTAACCCCTCTTCCACATGAGACAAGCAGAGGGAGGGGGAAAAAAGGGTGATCAAAAACAGAATGACGCGCTTTTGCCGGTTCGGAACGAAAAAAGGATAAAACTTCTCCTCCGGGTCACCAGGCGTCTGCTCCACTGGCTGCCGCCGATCTCTCAGATCCCTCGGGGAGTCCTTCGCCGCAGATCTCCAGAGTGCCAGCCGCACTGAGTGGGCAGGGAGGGGCAGGGCATGGAGGGCAGGAACGTGGAGCTGCATGTTGCGAGTGGGTGTGCGCACACATGTATCTGAGTAATGCATGGCAGTGAGGAAAAGAAAGCTACACTTGCCTGTGGGTGTGTGGGCCAGGATCTTCTGAACGTGGGTGTATGTGGGCCAGGATCTTCCAAGCACTGTGCTGAAAAGTAGGTGGATCCCACGCGGAAGGCGTGCAGGGAAACCAGAGGACAGCAGCGGGGGTGCTGTGAATTCTGCACCACCTTGCCAGGTGTGAAGACTCAGGAGGATCCTCGAGGGATGGATCCTCCCCCTGAACAAAACGTGGATGTTCTCTAAGCCAAGTGTGCCAGCAGGCTAGGACACGATCGTGGTGTGAATGCTCCTGTAGCCCTAGCGGGAGAGGCCTCTCAACTCCTGTCAGTGAATCTGCTAGCTAGCGTAACCCGAATGATCTTCCGGAAGGTGTGTGCTCTACAGGTGCCTTGGGGGGAATGGGATACGTGATGGGCAGCAGCGATGCAGCCCGGTGTGCTGTAGACAGTGGTGGTGGTGGTGGTTCTATGCTCCGGCCCTCTGCTCCTTCCCTGTTTGGGGAGGGAGAGAAGCTGGCCGGCTGGGCAGGTGGATAAAGAAGGTAGAAGGGAGTTAATTACGTCTTGCATGAATTTGCGGCACACGGGGCGGATTTCCTTGCTGAGAGTGGCACTGAACATCATGACCTGCTTTTCGTGCGGGGTCATGCGGAAGATCTCCTGGACATCCCGGCGCATATCTGTAAGGAACAAAGTGCCAGGAGTTAAGGCACGGCTCCTGGTGCTACTGTGAGGCTTGGGGCCTGACATGGAATAGCTATGACGGGTTGCCTTCTCCTCCCCTGAAGTACCACAGTAATTATTCTGTGTCAGAAACCCTAAGCAGAGCCTGTGCTAACTCTCTGTGGAGTCAACATTTAAGGTAGGGCTGCATCCATTACTTTTCAAAGAGTACTCACTCATATTCCTCAATATTCCACTCATATTCCTAGCTGTTTTAACTTGGCTGCAACTGCTTCTTTACTACTACTACTACAACTTCTGCTACTACTACTTTCTTGGGAGCAACCCTGCAAGTTAAGCAGAGGCACACTGTGCAGATTCTCGGCAAACAACACAGATGAGAATGAGGGCCGAGGAAAATCTTCCATGCTTTTCCAAAGTGATTTTTCTCTAAAACGCAGAGAGAGCTTCTTTTTTTTCCAAACCGTAAAGCAGAAGGGCACTTTTGGCCTCAATCCCATCCCAAATTTTATCCTAGCTGCAACTAAGAAAAGGGAAAGGGTAGCAGTCTCTGCCTCCATCTAGGAATGCAATCTCTAACTGTGATTTCTCTTCCCCCCCGTCAAGTTCATCTTCGACAAAAAGACTACCATATGCTTCCTTCCCATCAGAAGCAGGAAGATAAACTGTTTCCCTGTCCAGCTCATCAACTGTTACCAGCCTGATAAGCAGGCATAAGCAGAATGTAGTATTTCTGCAAATTTAAATTTAAAAACTCCCTGTTTTCATGGAAGTACACCCTCTAAGAACACAAAAGTGCTCTTATGTGCCCAGCCACCTCCACAGAACTGACTATCCAATGCTACTCACCAAGCTGCTCAAGCATCTTATCGCATTCGTCCAGGATGAAGTGCTTGATGTGCTTGAGGTTGAGGCTCTTGTTGCGGGCCAACGCCAGGATGCGGCCCGGAGTCCCCACCACGATATGGGGGCAGTTCTTCTTCAGCACTTCTTCATCCTTCTTGATGGACAAGCCCCCAAAAAATACTGCCACCTGGGTTGGGAGAGGAAGAGAGAATATTCTTCATACACACAGTCAGGCAACCAGCAGAAATACATAACCCAGGGCATGGAACTGAATGACCCACACGAAAGCATGACAACACCAAGATGCAAACTGCGCAATTATACTAATGAGAATCAATAGTTAATCTGTGACTGGGATTGCCATTGGAAGTGGAACACACACACCCATGCAACCAATGATTATAGACAGTCAGAAGATCCTGCTAAATCAGATAACCTGTAGAGCACAAGTGGTGAGCAACAAAATCTTGGGAGAAGGCAGAGCCGTGACTAGCGGGGCTGAACATTAGCGGGAAGGTTGAACAGAAGCTGAAATTCTATTAGTCAAATACACAAAAGGTTTAAGTTTTGGAGGTGAATTGCCTCAAGTTAAGGGATCTTTGTAGGCATTATCTGTTGCATATTGCATAATGCAACTTAGTACGTCTATGGAGATTTCTTAACTTGAAGCAATTAACCTCCAAAATGTGTGTAACTGAACAAAAATAATTTGGCCATTATATCTCATTCCCTTCCGTGACGTGCCTTTCTGTGGAATTATGTACTTAACCACAATAGTCTACTTCCCCATCCCTTTACTCCTTCACTTGAAAACTGATGGATTATTTCCTCTCTTACTGTCATTTTTGCTAGGACTCGTAACTGTTATTTAATGGATCTGCTATACTTTCATTGTTGTTAATCTTTTTCACCTGTCAAAAACTTTCACAAATGATAAGAGAGAGAAACCACTCCATGGATCTCACCTTGACACTGGGCATGTACTTAGAGAAGCGCTCGTACTCCTTGCTAATCTGGAAGGCCAGCTCACGGGTGTGACACATCACAAGGACTGACACCTGCCATGGAAGTGGAAATACATTACGTTTCCTGCTCCCCCCAGCTAATGCTACCCTAGCCCACCCTCCCGCTCAATCCAGCATCTTCAAAACACTGTTTTGTTTTCCCTCCACATACCTGACCTGTGACTGGCTCCAGCTGCTGAAGTGTAGCAAGAACAAAGACTGCGGTCTTGCCCATGCCAGATTTGGCCTGGCACAGTACATCCATGCCCAAGATGGCCTGTGGGATGCACTCATGTTGCACTGTATTGAAAATGAGAAGGCAGTTAATATCTCCTGGCACTGCAAACATTCCAGAAGCCCCGTTTTCAGCTTCCCTTTAGCAACTTTCCAGAATCTCCCAACTGGCTTCTTCCCCCCGGGGAAAATCCGCAGCTAGGCTCACCTTCGGAGGGGTGCTCAAAACCGCAATCAACAATAGCTCGCAAGAGCTCCGGTTTCAGGAGAAAATCACGGAAGCCAGAACTGTGGATGGAGACGTAGGATCCCTTGACATCTTTCTTTGACGGGACGTCCACCCCTTCTCCAGCTGCCTGGTTTTCCACCTCATCATCCTCATAATCCAACAGCTCATTGTCGACATCATTCTCCGTCATGATGATGCCCCCCTGCTTGCTCGTTCTATCTAAAAACCAAGACAAAGATTCTTGTGAAAGTGGAGCCAGAGTAACCAAAGGGGGAAATATTAGCTAATTTTAAATACCAGAGAATCCCAGAACACCCATGTGTAGCAAAACTGTATGAAGAAAAAAGAAGTAAATTTATTTATTTTTTATAATCCCTGACTTAGTGGTGACCCACTAACACTTGGTGAACAAAAGAAAACATAAAACAACTAATCAAATACAACAATACAAGATTAACAACGTAAGATGAAAAACAAGTAAAAGCAAAAATAATAAGAAAAAAGCTGCAAGCAAAGTCATCTCTCTCTCTCTCTCAGAGAAGTACCTGTTGTTAGTCCAGAAAGACCAGCAGGTCTTGTGGCACCTCAAAGACTAACAAATGTATATGCAACTTGAGGGTGGGGAGTCTACACCCCTCTAGATGAATGGTTCCCTACATTGGTTTCCGCATCGACTTCAAAGTGATGATGCTCACGTACAAAGCCCTAAACAGTTTAGGGCCTCGATACTTGGCGGCACGCCTACTCCCACCAAGATCTACCCGTGTCACTTGTGCGAGCCAGGAGGTGAGGCTGAGGAGCCTAATGCCAAGGGAGGCCCGGAGGGAAAAGACAAGAAATCGGGCCTTCTCGGCGGTGGCTCCTCACCTCTGGAACAACTTACCACCTGAGATTCACGTGGCCCCCTCGCTGGGTATCTTTAAGAATCAATTAAAAACATGGCTGTTTAGGCAGGCCTTTCCATCAGATAAACCCTGATGCTCCTGACATCCTTTCCCTCTCTTATTATTCCTTTCACTTTGTGTAATGTTTTATTATTAATAATTGCTTATATATTAATTTTATAGTAGTAATATTTTTGTTGTTAGCCGCCTAGAGTGGTCCTGACCCGACCAGATAGGCGGGATATAAATAAAATAAAATAAATAAATAAATAGGGCCCTCAGATGTTCTTGGACTGCAACTCCCAGAAATGCTGGTGGTGGAGGCCTCTGGGAGAACATCTGGGGAACCAAGGTTGGGAACCACTGCTCTTCATGCTTTGGACTTCACCACCTAGAAACTCCAGCCTATATGTCCTTGGCTAAGGAAACTGTGGAATCTGAAGCTAAAAAAACATCTGAATTGCTAAGTTCTCCCTACCTCCAGTATAAAGTTGTACTTCATCTGATTAAATATTGTTCGCAAATGATGTGAAAACTATTTCAACTGTCTCTATGGCTATTCCCCATCAACCTATCATACAGGGATTTGGCTAAGATCCCTAAAAGACACACGTACAGAAGTATAAACATTTTACTCCTACTCTAGCCACCTTACACTGGCTGCCCATTCAGTTCCGCGTAGATTTCAAAGTCTTAACACTTATGTATAAAGCCCTAAACGGTTTAGGGCCTCGTTACCTGACCGAATGCCTTCTCCCACCTAAGTCTACCCGTACCACCCAATCTAGTCAGGAGGTGAGACTGAGAAGCCTAACGCCGAGGGAGGCCCGGAAGGAAAAAATAAGAAACCGGGCCTTCTCGGCAGTGGCACCTCGTCTTTGAAATAGCCTCCCTCCTAAGATTCGCATGGCCCCTTCCCTGGGCACCTTCAAACGCCAACTGAAAACCTGACTGTTCAAGCAAGCCTTTCCTCCATCCACCGTCTGATTTTGTTCTTTGTGCCTTCTCTCATTTGGATCATTGTGGGGTTTTTGAGTACTGTAATACGTTGTTACGATTTTAAATTGTACTTAGATTTGATATGTTGTCACCCACCCAGAGTAGTCAATACGACTAGATGGGTGGGTTATAAATGTAACAAACAAATAAATAAATTTTAGAAATAGCAGTTCTGTGCTCACCATGCACTGAAGAATCTCTATTCTTTCCTCAGTGCAAAAATTTCTACCCTTCTTGAATGACTGTTTGACCATATTCCGAAGGATTTCTTCCTAACATTTCGCCGGTGTCTGTGGCCTTCATCTTCAGAGGACAGGAGTTAGAACTCTGTCTGTGTTCTGGTGTAGTGTGTGGGACAGTGTTGAGTGATCGTTCGAGAACACAAACTCAAGTCACTTGTTCTCAGGTTATCCCAGAGAGTTGTTAACAGGGCAGCCAACTCCCTTCTCCCCAAATTCCTCATGTCAAAATATAAAATGGCCTCCAATACTAATAACTAGAGTTATTCAGATTTGTGGTTCTGGACTACCTTTGAAAGGAAAAGAGTGAACAACGCATATGAACCCCTATGGATGCTGTAGGCACATTCTATCCTATATGAATTTAGTCTCTGGCATCCATCTTTGGGGAAGCAGATTCCATGCGGGCATCAGGAGGCGGCGTTACGCCCACTCGCCTTATCCCAACTGAACAAAGGACAAAAGAAGAGGCAACAAGGGAAGATCTTCTTTTCCAACCAGAACTTGGTTCCCAAATACCCCAAGGAAAGATAACAAAATCTCAGTCACCCTTAAAAAAAAAAGAAAGCAAACTACTCACTTTGCAAATAGAGAAATCTCAACTTCAGCCTCTGGCCCCCCACATTGCTTCTCTTGCAGACCACAATCCTCGCATCACACACACCTGCGCCAAATTCTTTTGGACTATTGAAACAGACCACTGAATATTTATTATCAAAGTGGCAAAGTCCTGGAGGTGCAGCACGCTGCAGATTCTTTCCATCAACCCTAACCCTCGCCTCCAAAAGTCGATGCACCAAAAAGCAGCATCCGCAGACCCATCTCTGAACGAGTGCAATGAGAAAACGACCCAGCCTCTTCCCCTCTCCGCACAAGACACACACCCGACAAAAGTAATAATCACTCACACGTTGCATTTCCTTTTTATTGCACACAGAAAATTCAACAAGGCCCTGCAAGAACATGGAAAAGCGGGGAATGGTGTGGGGTTTTTTTTTGGGGGGGGAGTACTCGTAGAAACGTCCGAACTCAATCTCTACATTTCTCTTGCTTCCCCCACTTTCTACTGAAGGAACACAAAAGGCTAACCCTAACCAGACGACCAGGACCTGAACGCCTGGAGGGTCACAGGCGGCCGATGTTTCTCGATTGCTAAACGAGTCCGGGGGAAGCAACGCAGCGAGCCCAGAGAGGCGCCATCTTGGATTCGCGGGCTTCGTAATACAAAGACACGAAGCAAGGCAACCCCCCCCACCCTCCTTTCCTTGCCGCTTTTATGACCCCACGTGGGGAAATGATCCCCCAAAAACCGAACCGCCGGAGAGAGAATCGCCTGAGGAAACGTTATCGACCCATTCCTGGGGCGGATGATTAAAGGCTACACCGAGAGAGAACCGATAAGCGAGGCGTCCCTTACCTGGAGTAAAGGGGAGGGGCGAGGCGACCGCGCTGAGCAACGACCACACTTGAATGGGCGCGACTTCCGGCAAACGCAGAGGGCCGAGAAAAGGTCGACGAGGGACCTCTAATGAGGACCCCTGGCTTCCGGGCGCGGTTTTCGTCTCATTCAGTGCCTGACGGTAGCAAAATAACAACAGCAATAGCAGGCTCTGTCGAGCAAGCCGTCTTTTTATAAATTACTATATGTAAATGCAACTTGTACTTATGGCATGGACAAGGATACTGAATAGTCGCACATTTTTCGACAGGCATTTGCAGTAGTCAGAGAGAGAGAGAGAGAGATTTATAATTGGTATAAATCGCGTGCGATTGGTCACTTTCAAATAAATACGTTTTGAGGTTGGAAACTACTGGACTGTTGTCGAATTGTTTCTACAGAGAGACTGTATAGACCCGTGGTTCCCGACTTTGGGGTCGTCAGATATTCTTGGACTACAAGTCCCAGAAATCCTGGCCAGCACAGCTTGTGGTGAAGGCTTCTGGGAATTTTAGTCCAAGAATACCTCGGGAACCCTTTTATAGCAATATGGGATAAACAAACAAATATCAAAAGCACGAGATGGGGGGGGGGCGAGGGCAGTGGACAAGTAGTGGCACCACCGCTTCTGCTTGTAATTATTTTATATACAAGTAGTTTTTTTTCCCCAGCCTTATAGCATTGATTTCAAGGTCAAGAATGCCCTGTTGGAAGGCTATCATTAATTAAGCATTCAGTAACACTCTTGTTAGCATTGCAGGTTTCAGAACCCAACAAACTACTGTAATTTGGTCATTTACGCAGCAATACGGAACAGCTGTAATGAGACGAATGTCACAGTGTTGTGATTCAGCCTGTAACTGAGATCCAGCCGTAACAAATGTGCAAATATCTTATCCATACTATTTTGATTTGGGAGACTAACTGAATGGTGGGGTTGCCGTAATTTTATGGACTTTGGAGAGGCAGTTCTCCTGAGCATGCCACCTACAGTACAGTATAGTTTGGGGTGTTTCCTGAGGTCCCTCTGATAGGAGATTGCATGCTAATTACGTATCTCCAGCTGCTTTTTCTATGGGAGAAGTGCAATTGGGTTTGGATTAGCTGAGGGGTATCATCTTTGTTACCAGAGTTTTAAAAAAATATAAGTGGGCAAATGCAGAACCTGCTTGGCCTCAGGTTTGATCATGCTCAGCCCATTATTCTATTGATTTGAGCTCAGAGTCAGGAACCTTGAATGCTGTTAGTTATTTAATCCATTTTATGTAAGTATTAGCTTAGGCTGATTAGACTTTATTGTTTCCTCCTGTTGTAGTTTTCTCAAGAGGTTTCTGTAATCCAGATTTAGTCTCAGAAGGGGGGACTGGTAAACTACTTCTGAATAATATCTAGAAAATATGGAGAAGGGCCATCATAAGTTGGAAACAACTTGATCATACAGTACTCTAATGCAATTACTATTAAATTGATTTTGCAAATACTGTATTTTCTCCTTCAAATCAGCTTCCCTCCATGTACCCTGAGGCAAGGTTGGGAGACAGCAACAAATTGCCGAGTGGCTTGCTGGCCACAACACTCTATTCTTTAAATAAAAGCAGGCATCTTCTTCTCAACATGTGTGTTCATTCATTGCGGGATGAAGTGTTGGCATTAAATCTACCCTTTACTTGTTGCCCTGCTATTGACCTATCAAGTATAATGGCAGTACTATGCTGAAAACTGACTAACTAGCTCAGGGAGTTAGGTTAGGAGGTGGATTTCCCACTGTGTGTCCCAGAAGACAGACAGCCTGTGTAGCCTTGAGCAAGAAGAAGGAAATGTTAAATATTTTTAGGGCTGATTATCTAGAATAGCCTGGAAAGTATTGCCATAAGTCGCAATTCCCAGCAGAATTACAAAACATTTTGCAAGATAACATATTTTTTTAATGAATCAAAGATGAGGCATGTGCAGATCTGTAACGCCTTTCCATTCCTTGCCATTTCTTATTTTGTCTAGGCTGAGAGGAACTGTGGTATAAAAATATCTGAAAAACCACGTTTCCCATTCCTAAAGCATATAAATTAATCTAGAATGGCTTTTTGTTTCAGTCTTTGGGTGCATGGTTAAACTGCAGTACTGCAGTTAAGACTCTGCTCACAACTTGAATTTGATCCAGACAGGCTCAGGTAGCTGTTTGAAGTATGATTTGTCCTTCCAAAGTTCTTAAGCACATTGCCCCCCCCCAGCTCACTGGGATCGAGGGCACTGTGTAATCTGCGTAATTAAATTGGAAATCAACAGATCATGGTTTGGGTGCTATGGGACAGTATATAAGCAGCACACCTTTTCTTATCTGCTTTGTCTGCACACATCTGTTTCATAACCAGCACTGGACAAATACTTCAGTTGTATAATAACCACCTGTTTTCCATTTTAATTCTATATCACTTTTAATTACAGTAATCACATTCAGAAGTCACTATTGAAACATCCAGTTGTAGATAAATACATTTTGGGGACAGGGAAGCAGGAAAGATTAAGCAGAGAACTGGGGTACAAAAATAAGAAGCTAGTTTCAGCACACATATATACACCAGCACAAGAGCAGGGGAAATTCCTGGGATCTCTAGTTTCCTAGAAATACCCCTTCATGCTATGGGGTGGTAATATGGATAGAGAAAACCAGTGATGTGGAACAGACCCATTTGATAGGGACCAGCTATGGAGACCTTACTGTCCTCCCCTTAAAGGAATACCTTGGACTGAAGGACCAGTAAACCAGGGGGCTGGAAGTTTCTGGAACAGTTTGAAATCATCTTAATGAGTATTAATTATAATACCATTAAATGGGTTTCTACAACTTGGATGTGTTGTGATACCATATGAAAAATAATTGTTGGAAAGATTCTGGGAATACAGATCCGTAGAACTCACTGGAGGTTTAGATAGAGATGTTTGCCCTAGGATTCTGAGACCAACACAATTTAAATTTTTAGGGAGTCTTAAGATGAGTCATGGATTTTTGGAAGATATTGGTCAATAAGGTCTCCTCAGCTTTCAAGTGGCAATCACAGGATGGGTTGAAGGATCCCCTAGATAGCTGCACGATAATTGGGGTGTATTTGGGGCCGCACGTCCCAAACGAGGGTGAGAAGTTGACGGAGGACCCGATCCTTGCCCCGGGCCTGGCCTCCCTGCATAGCCTGAAGTTTCTTCCGGGTTTGAGCCTCCACCTCGGCAGACAAGTTCCCTTGTGAGCCCAAAGCCTGAAGAGAGAAAGACAGCAGGGTTATTCCCAGCTAATGATCATCAATGAATTACAGGACTCTTTGCTGTGACAAATTCTATCACCCCTCAACATTTGTCATGAGGACTATGGTTGTTCATAACAATGTAGAGAATATTTGTGTTAAGAAATTGTAAGGAGGCGTATTGCATTAAACTTTTTATTCAATACTGGTCAGTAGAGATGGCCCCAAAGACAGTCTATCTACAGAACCAAAGCTATATAGGAAATACACAAAGGGCCATAAAAGGAGTAATTTGAACGGTAGGTTCCTTTGAACTGTCTTTTCAAGGAAGTTCCTTTAATATTCTTAGGAAGCTGCTTTTAATCTTCTTTCAGGAAAGAGCCTAAATACTTTATTATTTTTAACACACCTTTGCTAAAAGAAGGAATACCTTTCAGAAAACAGGGGTCTTCCCACAGTTCATTGGAGATATTACACTGGCTATCTTTATATAATTCCCAGATCCTAATATATATGGGTATACTTAAAATTTTCAAGGAGGGAGATCTCCACCATCCCCTCCTTAAAAAAAAAAAAGGACATGTATTTGCAAGACTTAGTGAGTTCAATAGCACTGAGCCTCCGTCAGGTCCACCAAAAAGGTACAAAGAAAATACAGTGGGGTCTCGACTTACGAACGGCTTGACATACGAACGTTTCGACTTACGAACTGCTCTCATAGGAATATATGGACTCAACTTACGAACTTAGATTCGCGTTACGAACTCTTTTTCCTTTTTTTTAAAGCTAAGTCATCTTAGGTTAAAAGGAAAAAGAAAAAAATATCCCCCTCTAGTGGCAGAAGGCAGAATAGCAGCTTCCCATTAGTTTCTATGGACAAAGAGAGCAGATACGGATTAAATGGTTTTCAATGCAGTCCTATGGGAAATGCAGATTCGACTTAAGAACTTTTCGACCTGAGAACTGCCTTCCAATACGGATTAAGTTCGTAAGTCGAGACCCCACTGTATGTAAACTTCACCAGCTTAATGTATAATAATAGTTAATTGTCTCGGGGATGAATGAAATAGGGAAGAGAAGGCTTGATCTGAAGACATGATAGTCGGCTTGGTGTCTTGAGCTGTAGTGCTGGAAGACGACCTTTCTCCTTTATTACAGCTCAAAACACTATGGCTGGAATCCAGTTGCTTAGCAAAATAATTTGCACTAGACTGAGTGGGCCTCCTGGGAGTGTAGATTCTCAGTGTGGCGTAGTGGATAGAGTTACGAGCTAGGACTCTGGAGAAGAAGATCCGGATCCCCACTCAGCCACAGAAGCTGACTGGGGGTGCACAACAGGTAAAACCACTCCTTAAATATCTCACTTACCTTGAAAACCCTATTAGGATTGCCATAAGTCAGTTCTGACTGGAGGGCATTGAATGCACATAGGCCCACTGAATCAGGGAGGAAGTGACAAGTCGACTCCTCTGTAAGGTCTATGGATTCAAATAGGCACCCCCCAGTTGCAGCTTACTACGCTAACCAACAGGGAGTTCAGCCAAAGTACATTACCTGAATTTACCATCAAGACTTTCTCCTTTTAACCTTCTCCACCACTTACTTTGGCCATACCCTACCAGATGAAGAGATAAGTCACTTTGAAGGCGTATGCATGCTTTTATGGTGCTTTTTGATTGCCCTAAAAAAGGGACCATCCTACCAGAAATAGTTGGAGTTTGTTTGATGGCAGACACACCTACTTCTGCTTGTTCATGTTCTTCAAATATCTCTCCACAAGTCCTCTATATATTTGATGGCAGACACACCTACTTCTGCTTGTTCATGTTCTTCAAATATCTCTCCATAAGTCCTCTATATATACCCTCCCTTCCTCATTGCTGCCAATCCCATTTCTTGTCCCAGAGACCCAGCTTCCTTTGTCCACGAATCCTGGCCCCAGGGAGCCTAAGCAGCCCCCCCCACATACCCCAAGCCCCCCATCTCACCGCCTGCTGCTTCTGTTGGAACTCCCTCTCACGCTCCAAGCGATACTGCTCAATTTCTGCCTGGGCTTCCTCCTTGGCCTGCCTCAGCCGCCGTGCTTTCCCTAGGGTTGAGGAAAGGAGGGGTGGGGAGAAAGGGGAAAAGGCAGACAGAAAATAGGGGAGAGGTCTCCTTTGTAGATGTTGCTTGCTTGAGGGGGAAAAAAAAGGAAACTGGCCTCACATGCACACTGCATCACATCAACCTCGGAAAAAAGGTGCACGCCGTGGTAGGCATTTTTAATCCTTCAGATTTTGGGGACTTCGACTCTCAGAAGACGATGATGCAGAATCAAGAGATCTATAATCGAAAACTACTGTGAGAGGCCAAGGGAATGAATGTTAATTTAAGACCCCCAACTCTTAGAAAAGAGTGTGAGGATATGGGTTTTGTAGTACTTGTTTCCCAGGAGTTGTGGGTGTTTTATCTTGATTTGACCCAACTCCGGGAGGCAGTGGAAAACAGGAGGGCATGGCGTGCTCTGTTCCATGGGGTCACAAAGAGTTGGACACAACTAAATGACTAAACAACAACAAGAACAACAACAATATTTTGCTGAGATACTGTTTGTTCCTGTGAAGAAGAGCCAAGGCCAGCTCTCAGGCTTGATACCCATAACATTCCTTGCTTAATGGTGTACCAGCCTGGGAACGAGAGATGGGAGCTGTGGAAAGTTACAAGTTGGGTGTGGAGTTGAGGTCAAAGGACTGTAGGTGGACTGGATATCATCATGGAGCAGAGACTTTAATTTAAGTTATAGAAAGGGGGGCTAAGTAGTTTTTTGGGTTGGTGTGTGCGCGCGTAAACTGGAGATGTAATGATGGACAGAGATTTACAACTTTTGTTGGCCGATTGGAATAGAAAGGTGGTGGATGCTGTGTACTACAGTTTGTCTCGTTCCCCTAGTGAAATGACTTCTCTAAGGAAGCACCGTCCTGAGAGAGAGATATGGTTCACAACATTGTTTTTAACCTTTAGATGTCTCAGCCACACAGTCAATTAGAACACTAACTATATTAATAACCAAGCTTTCTGTAACCCCTTATGAGTATGACAGAGTTGCCTCCCTTAAGAGACTATGACCCCTGACCCCTAACAAATGTCTTAGCATTCCTTTGATAGCCAAATCTACCTGATCTATAGCTATGGACCTGGCCAGGAGCAGCATATTAAGTAACTAACACCTTGATAGTCCCAGTCCTGTGTTAAAAAAACATTGTCACTTTCTCTATTTTATCTGTTATTTAAAATATTTTTACTGCACCTTTCTCCTTAAAGAGGACCCTAAGTGGGTGACATAATTAAAAGACAATATTTAAAGCTGAAAACAGTAAGTATACAAATATTAAAAAGGTTCAAACAAATACTACGTTAAAAGACGGTAAACAAAAGCAAGACCAAAACACATTCAAAGCACTAAAACCCAACAATCTATTAAAAAAAACCCACTCAGACAGCCAATCACGGAGGGAAAGCTTGCCTAAAGAGAAAGGTCTTGGCCTGCTTGCAGAAGGACAGCAAAGATGGGGCCAGCCTGGCCTCCGGTGGGAGGGAGTTCCAAAGTCTGGGAGCAGCCACAGAGAAGGCCATCTCTTGTGTCTGTACCAAACACACCTGTGAAGGTGATGGGACTGAGAGAAAGGCCTCTCCAGATGATCTTAACGCTTGAGCAGGATCACAAAGAGAGACCCAGTCCTTGTACCTGCCTAGTCTATGTATCCTCGCCTGGTCTGGGGGAGATTAATAAAGATACCAATCACAGATTTGACCTCCAGTGCCAGACAACGTGGACTTTGATTCACAAAACCTCATACTGAAACAAAATTTCCAGTCTTGAAACTGCTGCAATATGTTTTTACCCTCTCTCCTCTTTTCTCTTGCCCGCAAGCACAGTCAATAGTGAAGAATCAGAAGAGTTCTAATCTGAACAGGTAGTGGCAAGCTTCACCATCTCAGCTCTCAAGAGAAACGGGATGTGTGAGAGAGCGGTTAAATTAACATTCAGCCTCTGGACCCTTCAGAGCACTACAGAAATGTCTGCCCCCTCAGTGCCTTTCCAGATGTTGGCCCCTGGAACTCTGAACCTGGGCTCTTTTCCTCCATAACAACAGCCCCTTTTAATAGGCCTCCAGATACACCTCCCCATCAGCACTCTAATCTGCCGGATCCAGCCTCGGAAAATAAAAGCCCAAGGTCTCACGTTTCCGAGCCTCGGCCACCTTTTCCGCTGCCCTCTTCTCAGCCTGCAGCAGCTGCTGGATTCCCTGGGTCTGGCTGGCCATGATTCTCTAGCAGTGATGCTCCAGCACTTAATCCTCCTCCTCCTCCTCCTCCTGCATCCACTTGATGGGTACCGCAGCCTGCTGAGCCAGACTCAGGTCCTAATGCCCTCCTTTTTTATGTCCATTTTTTCCTCCAGTGCTCTGCAATGCTGTGGCCATTGCTGAAACACCCCACTTAAGAACAGCATTTCCTCTTGCATCTATCTGGTCACCTCAGCCTTCATTACTAACTTTAATTCTACAGTATTTCCTTCCTGCAAAAGCTCAAGTATAGCCCTCCTGTTCTCCAAATTTGTTTTTAGTTAGCAAAGATGGTTAATGAGTGATCTTAATGTCTGATTTTTTTTGAAAAAAATCCTAATATCCTACATCCCACTTGCATACTGTAATCAGTACACTACACTGTTGTGGCTCTAAATCACACACCCTCGCTACAATCTCACTTCAGGACCTTCTGCTTGTGTCTGAATTCTGATCTCAGAGCTACAAAAACCAGATGAATTTGTTATGCAATTATCCCTATTTTGATTAGTGACTGTAGCTACCAAATGTAGCCATTTAGCAGTGGGACCATAAACTGGAGGAGTTGATGCCATCAGAAACTGTGATATTATCCAGCATGATAAATAAAGCTACCCAATTTTGCTCCTGTTGACCTGCTTTACCAAATCCAGCATGTCAGATAATGTCCAGCATTGGTAACACCAAGACAGCCTGGTACTTCTGTTTTTTGTTGTTTTGTTAATACTAAATTTACGGGATGGCAATAATTCTGAGATTACTTGGGAGACTCGTATAGTTTAATATGGAGGACCAAACACTTTCTATCTTTCTGGCTCCTGACAAGTCTATGGGCTACCTGCAGGAAATCTAATGCTACTGCCATGGCTCATGGGCTCCACTTTATTCTCTGCAGCCTTCTGCAGGCTCTGTTCGGCTTCAGGGCAACATTAAGAGTACAAAAAATCTAACAACTAAGCCTCTTCACACTCCCCCTTCCATTTTGTAACATATTTTCTAATTAAGAGTGGGTATTTGTGAAAGCTTGTGCATCCCCCCCCCCGTTTTTTATTACTGGTCAAATAAATGTATCGCCCAAATATGGATTTTAGAATTTGTTTTGTGCCAAAATTGCTTCAAGGTTTTTGGAGAAGAGATATTCAGAGAACAATATCTGGTGTGTGTGTGTGTGTGGGGAAGAGAGATATAGAGAAAAAGATCTGGTGTGTGTGTGTGTGTGTGTGTGTGTGTGTGTGAGAGAGAGAGAGACAGACAGACGGACGGACAGACGGACAGAAGAATGTGGAATGTCCTAATTCAGCCCCCTACCTCTTTCTATTGGTATTTTCTGTGTGAGAGAGAGAGAGAGAGAGATGTACGGAGGAATGTGGAATGTCCTAATTCAACCCCCTACCTCTTTCTATTGGTATTTTTCCCCCAGGATCGAGCCCTTCAGATAGCAGATGTGCAGGAGTACGACTCCTATTTTCCCAGACAACATTCATATAGGGTGGGCATTATAGAAGTTGTACTCCTGCACATTTTGAGGGCATCTAAGAGGAGGAAGCTATAAGGGAGAGAAAAGCAAAAATATTATTGCACCTAAAAAACTAGCTGCTATATTTTAACGTGACCTTTCATGGATCAAATCTACTTCCTCAGACATAAGAGGAAGGCTGTACAATTGTCATGTTTATACCAGGAGCCATGACCAGGTGGCGATACTGATAATGGACAAAGTGACAATGATTAATTAATAAAATAACTCAGCTGTGACTAGTTTCAGTTGTCAGTCTGGTAGTCTGTATTATTTATGTAATTGGTAAGCTGTGGGAATCAATGTGGAATTTCACACTTGGTAATTAATCAGGAACCCTTGATGAATATTTAATACTTTTGATTGGGACTCCAGCATCCATATATACCTTATTCCATCTGTTTCCCTTCCAAGTCTACTTCTGCAGTGCTATATAAGTCATGACACTCCTCCAAGATGTGCATCCCATCTCACATACCCAGAGAAAGCAGTACATGAGAAGCAACATATCTCCTCCTAGTTAAAGTCCCAAAGCTGATTGGAGTAGCGGTTGGATCTCTCATCCATGCTGGAAACAAGAGACCACCCTCCCTTCTACACCTGGAGTAGCAGGCGGTCTTAGGGGGTGCAAAAATCTTTGCTCCAAAAACCTTGCTCCTGATCCCCAGTCTGTGCTACCCCTGATCACAGGTCTGGCCTTGGCCTTTACACCGAACCAAAGTAAACAATGGTGTGTTTGGTTGCAGCTTTGGCTGTTTAAACAGTCCTGGTCAGTCAACCAGTAAAAGCTTTATTTCATAAGCCACTGATAAAGACGGAAACAGCAGGCACCCCACATGTCCAGGACAACACGTTGTTTTTCTTCCAGGAATTTGCCCCATGACGTAGGTGGTGTTACGTGGTTGTTGACCAGGTAGAATGAGGCTCGAGGTAAACCTTGAAGGCACACCTGTGCATCCTTCTTTCCGTGGGCTGTCCTTGTTGTCAAGGGTTTCAAAATATCTCCTTCTGGGGACTTACGTAGTTAAGCTGTGGAGAAATGAACTACCTGTTCAAATAGCCTTGAAGGGCAGCCATCAGAACTAAAGAAGCCTCAGCTGCCAGGTCTTCTTTACACGGCTTAAATGGCTTTTAAAATAATGAAAGAAAATGCATCTTTGCATTCAGGACCGGAATGTAATCAGTATTGGTTACATTCCAAATGTTGCTCGGCTAGAACTCCTAACTTCTATCCCTTTTTAAAAAATCTCATACGTTTTGTAATGTATGATTACTTATAGGCTACTCTTGAGGATTTTTTTCAGCTGAAAAGTAGGCTAAAATTCTACAAATAAATAGAATCATATGCTATAAGTAAATAGAGATAGCATATTGGATCGGGACTCTGGAGATCAGGGTTCAAATCCATACTCAGCTATGAAGCTCACAAGGTAATTTGAAAACCACCTCTCTTAATTAGCCTGAAGTTCTTTAGAGGGACATTGTAAGGATAATGTAGGGGAGAAAAGAGCCACGTACACCACTTTGAGTGCATTGGACGAAGACAGGATAAAACCAACCAACCAAGTTTGGATTAAGGTAGTGGTTCTCAAACTTGGGTCCCTAGATGTTCTCAGACTAAAACTCCCAGACACCTTCACCACTAGCTGCTGGCCAGGATTTCTGGAAGTTGTCATGCAAGAACATCTGGGGGACGCAAGGTTGGTAACTACCGGATTAATGGATCTTAAAGACAGACAAACTGGAGATGATCATCTTCCCATCATGCTCTGCTTGTTGACTTCCAGATGGAAATTTGGTTTGGCCAGACGGAGATTGGGTCTCACACTGCAAGACGATTTCCATGTATTCCCTCACTTCTCCATGAAAACACAATCATGAATGGAAAGGGCAATGAAAGGTGCATCAATGACTTTATTCACTACAAACATTTTCTCTTCTTTCCATTTGATAAAAATGAACAAAATTAAAAAAAAAAAACCATTCCAAAGTGGACAACAATTTGCTCCTTGTCATACAACTGTTGTCAGCTGGCTTTCTGCTTTCTCGAGTCCTTTAATTTTTATTTTTTTTTCCTCTCTTGCGTCCTCCAACCTGCCCACCCTCGTTTCAATAAAACTTCAGTCCCCACCCAGGAATTCAATAGCAGCATCTCAAAATCAGGAGTGTTTCTGAGGTAGAACGGCAGCCCCAACATCACTGTAGGGGAAATGGCCATGACAAAAAGGCTTGGTTGAGTCCTGCCCGAGGCAAAGAGGGGGAAGAGAAGCCAAAGGGAGGATGGAGGATAGACTCACGGACCTCTAGGCCTACTATGACAGGTGCCCGGCTTCCCCAAAGTTCTGGACCCAAATGCCCTTCAGCCACAACTTTCAGGCAGAGCTTGGGGTGTCGGGGCAGGAGATAACTTCTTTAGACTACAGCTCCCAAACTCTACTAGCCAGCACAATTGTTGGCCATGCTGGCTGAGGGATTCTGGGAATTGTAGTCTAAAACAAGACATATATCCCTCCTCCAAACTCTGCTTTCTTGCCTCTCCACCGGTGTTGTCGATCTCTCCCAAGTCCCAATGCAAATTCCCTTCTTCCGTAGCCAGGCAGCCAAAAGGTTCAAGAGTGATCAAAGGCACATAAGGTTGAGGGAAATGGTGGAAGACCACAGTGGGGTCAGAGCTTCCCGTTGATGCTAATCTTGGCCACCGAAACACTGTCTGTGGATGTGACCCACCCCTTCTCATAAATGACAAAGAGGCTCTGGGCATCCTCGGGGGCTGCCCCATCCAGTGCTGTCATTGAAGAATAGCCGCTGGCCCCACTCCAGATCTGCAAAGGTTCCTTCCACCACGAAGAGCCGTTTGTAAAACTCCAGCGTAGTGTCATGTTGACCCCTGCGTTAGAGAAGAGAAAGAGTCCTGGGTCATATTTATGAAAAGAGAGTAGACAGGGAAATGGTTTTCTTTCTTATTCATACAACCGTAACACCATCTGATTTTGGAAGCTAAACTGGGCTGGGTTTCGTAATTGGAGGGAAGGTGTCCAGGGATTACAATGGATTTCGAGGTAGAGATAAACAAAGAATCTCACCTGGCAGCCAAGGGCACACTTACTATACAGTATAGCGTTTCTAAGATTATGCAATTACTTTGTCACATGATGCAACAGGCCAGAAAAATATATTAAAATAGTCTCTGGTGGCCGTTTCCAACACTGTGCCTTGGAAATGTTTATGAAAACACAAGAGACAAAACCAACTTATCTTGCTACCAAGGAGTGGAATGAGAATGGCATTAAAACTGAAAAATTCCTGTTGATGCCTCTAAAATACCTTTAATTCTTAAAAAGGGTTACCTGAAAATAGCCTGGTGTTACTCATTATACCTAATAAAGTAGTTGTCACTTTCTACAGCTACAAAGGAGTATTGTAATTACTTGTTGCCTTTGAAATAACAAGTTATTTGTTTTAATTTTTATTCCACCCATCTATTGGCTAAGCCACTATTCTGGGCAACTTACAATATCCCAACATAAGGTAAAATTCAGTAATAATCAAAATTAAAACACCAAACAAACAAATGAACCCCAAATCTATACTTCATTGTTGTTTATTCGTTCAGTCTTGTCCGAATCTTTGTGACCCCATGGACCAGAGCACGCCAGGCCCTCCTGTCTTCCACTGCCTCCTGGAGTTGGGTCAAATTCATGTTGGGCGCTTCCAAGACACTGTCCAACCATCTCGTCCTCTGTTGCCCCCTTCTCCTCTTTCCTTCACACTTTCCTAACATCAGGGTCTTTTCCAGGGAGTCTTCTCTTCTCATGAGATGGCCAACGTATTGGAGGCTCAGCTTCAGGATCTGTCCTTCCAGGGAGCACTCAGGGTTGGTTTCCTTTAGAATGGATAGGTTTGTTCTCCTTGCAATCCAGGGGACTCTCAAGAGCCAAATCTATACTAACTATATACAAAAAGAACTGACACAAAAGGTGGCAGCAGAACAAAGATAATTATTCAAAAACTAACAGGATGTCAGTAATCCAAATGACAAAATTATGTTACCTTAAAAGGAAGGTACCTCCAAAAGCCAGATGCAGGGGAGGGGGTATCAGGAGACAGGGATCTAGTTGTCCCGTGTGCTCCCAGAGGGATCTGGTGGGGCCACTGTGAGATCCAGGAAGCTGAACTAGATGGGCCCTTGGCCTGATCCAGCATAGCTCTGCTTATGTTCTTACCGGTAACTCATTACTTACTTTTTACTGCTTATTTACTAGCTTGGGTTCCTTTGAAGAATACATAAATTATGTAACAATAACCAATACCTCATTTGGTAAGGTCATTAATCTTGCCATTAATACATTTGTATTTCAGAGAAATTAATTCCAGAACCACTCTAGGTTTCTCATGTTCAGAGTACTTCAGATATTCTTGATCTCAGTTGATTTTGAAAGCTGAGCTGGGTAAGGTATGGTTAGTAGTTAGGGATCAGATAAAACTGTTTTGAAGCCCTTGAGAGCCAGCATCAGTCAGGATGGGCTACATGGACCAAGCAAGGGTCTCATTCAGCATAAGGCAGCTTCTTATATACAGTGGTGCCTTGCATAGCGATGGCTTCGTTTTACGACGAAATCGCTTTGCGACACATTTTTTGCGATCGCAAAAGCGATTGCTTTGCGATGTTCCCTATGGGGGAATTTCGCCTTGCGATGATCACAGGGAAGCGATCATCGCAAAGCCCCCATTTTCAGCCAGCTGATTGGCGGTTTCAAAATGGCCGCCGGGTAAACAAAATGGCTGCCCGCTGTGTTTAGGGACCGATTCCTCGCTTACTAGGCAGCAAAAATGGCCGTGCTATGGAGGATCTTCGCTGAACTGTGAGTTTTAAGCCCATAGGAACACATTGAAGGGGTTTCAATGCGTTTCTATGGGCTTTTTAATATCGCATAACGACGTTTTCGTTCTGCAGCGATTTTTGCGGAACGAATTAACGTCGCTATGCGAGGCACCACTGTACCTATAAAATTACAACCCAACAACCTGTCTCTCAGAAACATATACTCAAATCTGCTCTTCCTCACACTTATACTCTTCTTGTTCATACCCACATCCACCATCCATATACATCCAATCACCATCCTTTAAGCACATGTACTCTGATTTCTCACTCACGTTGACGCTCATGGGCTGGGTTGCTGAAGAAGACGAGGCCAGATTTGACCAGAGCGCCTGCAGCCACGGCTGGGTCCACTAGGGTCATGTCAAAGGTCACATTATCCAGAGGGAGGGTTTCACAAGCATCGTAGCTGCGGACCACAATACGGCAGCTGCAGTGGTAGAAATTTTGGTTCCTGGCGTTGATCACCACAGAACCGTCTGGCAGCTCATAGGGCTGTAAGAAGAAGTTGGGGGGGTGTAGAAAAGATTACGATAGATTTGGGGTGAACGGGGGGTTGCTGGTCTGCACTGGGCAGCCTGCCCTCTCCCCCCCCAGGAAAATCCCATATCTCATCCCACTGTACTACTCATCATTTTAAAACATGTGATCTAGGGAAAGAAGAGCCTGCTGTCAGATGGAAACATTTTGAAACCTCACATTTGAAAAGACAAGGATATAATGGACCTCCAGTCAATCCCTGATGCCCTCTTTCCCCTCTATTTGCCTTTTTTATTACGTCTATTTTATGTAATACTGTTTTATATATACAGTACTTATTGTTCTATTTTATGTTGTTAGCCGCCTAGAGTGGTCTTAACCGGCTAGATAGGCGGGATATTAAATAATTTTATATATACTTATTGTTCTATTTTATGTTGTTAGCCACCTAGAGTGGTCTTAACCGGCTAGATACACGGGATATAAAATAAATAAATAAATAAATAAATTAATTAAATAAAATTAATAAGACCAAATTTATTTATTTATTTATTTAGTATCACCTAAATGCTTTGTTTCTCCCAGTATTTGTTCATGTTGTTATTGACCCCCCACCTTTCCACCAAAAAGGCATTCTAGGAAACTAACAGGACTAAAAACAAAGTCTTGATTAAAATGTAACCCTCAGAGTCCATCAATAATAATAATAATAAAAATTAATGCAATGCCTAAGCAGTTCAACACCCTCCGACATGATGAGGTCAGCTTCCGTGCCAAAGGCTGGGTGGGGAAAAATGTCTTTTCCCACAGGTGAAAGAGCGGAGACCAACCAGGACTCCTTTAGGAGGGATTTTCTGAGTTTGTCCAACAGAATCTGTCCAACGGCAGAACAGGGCGTAGAAGAGCTTCCCGGTCATATTCTACTCAGAAATAATAATCAGAGTTGGGGGGGAGGAAGAGATATACATATAGGGACTACGACTACAGACTAGAGGGAATCACTCCGGCTTTGAGGTGTTTGGGGTCTACAACTCACCACTGGTCTACGGGGACTGGTAGGCCAAAAAAAATTGTTTTTGTAGGGCCATAGCTGCCTGGCCTGGCCCTAGAGACAAAACAGACTTTTTTTCCCCTCAGGAATCCTTATGGATGGTGCTGGAAGCCAAATCCTTGCAATCGGCAAACGGTACTTGAATTCAGCGTTCCACCGAGGGCCGCCCCAAAACATGGTGCCGCCTGAGGCAAAGGACAAGACGGTGCTGCCGTCGTTGCATGTAGAAAAGCTTATGAGGCCAAAACCTGAGCTTTAGGACAAGCGGCAAACCTAGAGCTGCTTTTCAGTCACCTCCCGGCTTTTCACAGCAACACAGCCAAAGCCTCTGCGCTCACTGGAGTGGGCAGACTGCATATGGCCCGCCCCAGTGTGGCACTAGGGCCTCCGAAATTGCAAATGGCATCCCTAAGGAGGGGGGCACGATTTGTTATTTCACCGTAAGTGTACCCGGCGTCCCTGTTTCAAGCCTTTAAACTGTTTCCCCCCCTTAGAAAAAGTCACTTCTATTTCTATAAAGATTTCCACAACAGGCACATATTTGTTTTCAAAATTACGTTTCAGTGGCAAATTATTAATTTGCACACTTATTAATTTTAATGTTTTAAGAATTGTTTTAGTATATGATATTTTATATTGTCTTTTTGAATGTTTTTAGTGTTTTTAAGTTTTAATATTGTTGTACGCCGCCCAGAAGCCACTGGTAATGGTGCGGCTAAAAAATATTGTAAATAAATAAATAAATAAATTGATCAATCAATCAATCACACACCTCCAGAGGCATGTAGGGCAGAACAATTTTCAAGTGCCACAATCAATCAATCAATCAATCAATCACACATCTCCAGAGGCATGTAGGGCAAAACAATTTTCAAGTGCCATACACTTTTCAGGGTGTTGGGGGAATCTGGAGGAGGGAGGAAATGACCTGGTTTTATATCTGTTGGGCTTTGTATTAATGATAATTGTTTTTCTTCCAGACTCCTTGCCCATGAGAAATTGCCCATGGTCACACCCACCTGGCATTCATCAGGATTGAAGTCACTGAGAAGCTTCCTCTCACCATAAGGGATCCCATGCAAGGGCTGCCGTCCATATCGCCAAGTTAGGCCATGGTCGTCGCTGAGGAGGCATGAGATCCCGTCCCGTGCTAGCGTCCCGTGGCCACAGACGATCAAACGCCCTTTCTTGGGCTCGTAGCGCTTCTGCAAGCCAGAGGCGATTCAACAGAAATGAGACTCCTTTCCTACCACGGCTCCTTCCTATACGCATGCCCCCACGTTATCCCATCTTGGGCCCCCTCCCTTGGGAATACCTCTCGTTCCATATAAGCCCAGTTGGGAAATGCCTGGTTGCTGCTCCCAATTCTGTTATCATGTGATGATGATAGGAATATGGCCTTTCTAGTAGCTGCCCTAATTTTATTATTAACTAATTCATTAATTGGATTTGTGCCTCACTTTTCCTCCAAGGAACTGACAGCAACATATGTCGAATCACAGAATTATTGAGCTGGAAGGAACCTCAAGTCAAGTCCTATCCCCAGGCAAAGCAAGAAATCTATAGCCAAAGCATTTTGGCCAACTCATTAGGCATCCTTCAGTCTCGAAAGACTATGGTAATGTGCTCTGTATGGAGGACTTGGAACAGCGTCTAGTGTGGCTGAGGAGGCCAATTCGTGAGTGACAATCCCTTCCACACTGAAGACAAATCCTTTGTCCTGCCAGGTGATACCAAAAATGTGTGGGAGGCAACACATATGGAAGGTGTTCAGCTTCCTCTCCTGCCGTGCACAAAGGGTCCAGGACTCACTGCAGTACAGAAGTGTGCTCAGGACACAGGCTCTATAGACCTGGATCTTGGTATATGCCGTCAGCTTCTTATTGAGCCATACTCTCTTTGTGAGTCTAGAGAACACGGTAGCTGCTTTGCCAATGGCCAAATAATGCCCAATTAATCTCTGTTTAAACACCTCCAATGAAAGGAGAGTTCACTACTCTTCAAGGGAGTCCATTCCACTATAAAACAATTCAAATTGTTAAGAAGTTCTTCCTAATACTTATGCAAAATCTCCTTTCACATAATTTTAATCCATTAGGTCTTACCATCTGGATCGCGCCCCTCATTATGAAACCTAAGGGTAGATGCTGAGTGAATCACCCAGGGTCTCACAGTGAGCTTGAGAGAGGAATTGAGGTTGGACCTGGGTCTCCATAGCCCTAGTCTAACCTCTTTAACTGCTGCACCACACTCCCTAAATGCATCAGTTAGGGCCTAGCTCTTTTTAATTTCCCAAAGTATCTCAAGACTTTCTTTTTAAGGAAAGCACTAAATATGCACTAAATATGGAGTCTGGTAAAATATTTTGGAATGTGAATTAATGTTGGTGACCTGGCATAGCACAACAAACAAGCATGGAATCCTGTGCTTGGCTGGAACTGACTTGCACCAAAAGTGCTGATGAAATGACAGCAAAACTAATTGCCTAGGTATGTAGGGTGAAAGGGTTATCACAAAGAAGATGGATCAGGCTTGTTGCTGTACTTCCACAGACCCGAACCAATGGATTCGAGTTACAAGAAAGGAGATTCTGACTAAACATTAGGAAGACCTTCCTCTTTGATGGTGGAACTGACTATCTCCGAAGTTGGTAAGACTCTCCCTACTGGAGGCTTCTAAACAGAATGGGGAGCCATCCGTTAGGAATAGTTGTAGTTTTCCTCAATTGTAGAGAGGATAGACTAGATGATCCTGAAGATCCTTTCCAGCACATCAGTTCTAAGACTCTTAGGATTTTATGAAATGTGCCAATGGTGGAGCCGTTCCACCATTTTGTATCAGTTACAGTAGATAGTTATATGGGTTATCAGTGACCCACTGTAACCTCTGCCACTTCTCTAGCGTTTGAAATTTTAGCTAACCTTTCTTACAGGCTTCTGATCACCTTCACAATTATGAAGACTGGGAACTTTTATTTTGTTCATTCCTGATCCACTAGGTTCATATTCTGCAACACAATGTAAAATTGGTATTTTATATGCTATAGTTTGTGCTTGTGTTTCATTAATACAAACTCACTCCTAACAAAAGAACCTTTTGGAAGGGTCACTACTATAAGTCAGAAGCAACTAGACAAAACATATCAGTAGCAACATTTCATCCATTTTAAAAAAATCTACAGGCTGAAATTGTCAAGTATTTTGAGTTTATGGTTGTAGGTGTGGTTTTTTTTTTTTTTTGGCTGTTTGGCTGTGTTCTGGAGGTTTTTCTTCCTAACGTTTTGCCAGTCTCCGTGGCCAGCATCTTCAGAGGAGAGGAATCAGAACTCTGTCTGTGTTCTGGTGTAGTGTGTGGGATAGAGTTCTAACTCCTGTCCTCTGAAGATGCCGGCCACAGAGACTAGCGGAAATGTTAGGAAGAAAAAATCCCAGGACACGACCAAACAGCTAAAAAACCCCTACAACAACCATCGGATCCTGGCTGTGAAAGCCTTTGAGAATCCAGTTTGAATTTAATTTTGAGTACTGTTTTGTGTGCGTGTTTTCTTCCCATTCTGGAATTGTGGCTGACAAATCACAGTGTATATAAGGGGAAAAAAGGGGGCACAACCCACAACCATTCTTGCATCTAACATAGGCATGCTTACTTGAATGCCATAGCCTGGTCCAGGGGCAAACATGGTTGTGCCAATATCCTCAGACAGATTCCGGGGAACGCTCCAGGTGACCCCATCATCACGGCTGCGAATGATCATGGTGCTGGCAACAGGGCACTGGTGGTAGTGGGCACACAGAGAATATACCAAGAATACAATGTCCTTTTCCCAGTCCACCACCACAGCCCCAAGATTGAGGCCATCTGCCAAGGACCCATCATCAACTATAAATGAAGTTGGACTCCAAGTAGCACCTGAAGAAGAGAGACAGACAATACGCTATCCTTTATTACACATATTTATATACCTCATCTCTTCATGGCATGTAGCTGCACCCAAAGGAGAAGAGCAAAACCATCACCACCATCACCACCAAACAAACCACAGATGGTAAAGTATTTTCTAAAACTGCACATCCCACAACCTAGTACTGTATCCTTCAGATCCATTGGACTTTTTAAATCTCTTTCTCCCAGAATTCACCACTGGGGGATTCTGGAAAATCATGCAGACCAAAATTCCAACTTTTGACTAAAATGCCCGTCATCTGTAACCATCGGAACAGAAGAAACAAAGCCATCTGAGGCAAATCCATCTGCTTCAGTGTTAATATACACCTCAGTGCAAGAACTTTTCTGTGAAAGGACCCGGCTACAAACTTGCTATACTCCTTCTTCAAAATGAGGTGTTTTAAACCTAACATCACATATTATTTTAGCTGTTATTCCGCTGCACGAGGGTAGAATACCATGTACGGATTAAGTTGGCTGCCAAATGATCTCTTTCTCCTGAGCCTAGAAGGCGGTCTGCAACTTTTTGTGCCATCCTGTATCCTGCACTGTCAACAGGAATATAATGAGCAAGCATTAAACATAGTGCTAAGGAAACTCCCATCATCATTCATTCCAGGTAGGTCTGATGGGAGATGAATTTTGGCAACATCTGAAGAACCGACTGTTCCCAACCCTGTATTAGCAGCAGAGGGTAAAGCTTGTACTGTTTTTATTCCATCTGATCCAGGGTTTTGCCGGCTGATTGCAGACAAAAGTGTCATTAAAAACCCAGGAGAAGACTGAGATTGTTTTTTTCTGCTCTCCCGGCGATCTTAACCTGAAAACAGTGAGAGAACACTGGCTGCCTAGCAACACACTCTAGAATATTCTTTTTACCCTAGGAAGAGGTGCCAGAATTGAAGCAAACCATTTGTCACACAAACATCAGCAGAAAGATAGAAACAGCCTATTAGGCTCCTGAATTTTTGTGGCCATTTAAATTTTTTCAAGGGCCAAGCCTCCCAAAAGGCTGGAGTTAATCCATGCACGTTAACAGGCCTCTCTTCCTATGAGGCTTCGCAAGGAGTCACAAATGCTTCCTTCCGATTTGTGCTTTTAACAGTTTATCCCTACATCAACGGGCTATTCTTTCTGAGGCAAATTATAGCAAAGACAGCCTCATTCATGGTGCCTGCTGATTTACACGTGGCACTTCACCACTTACAATGTTTAGCCTTGTCTAATTTGCTTGTCTTTTGTATCTGTCGTAGCGCCTAACGGGGATTCATCCCTGAAGTGAATTGAACCCTCTAGTGCATTATTTAAAAATATTTATTGTGTCACAAATACTAGTTTTTAACGTTTGTTTTTGCCGCATTCACTCATTTACCTATTGTTTATCAAGTCCTTGTGAATAAGAACTTGTAAGTACGGTATGTGTTTGCCTTTTTTTTCTCTCTCTCCTTTTTTTTCTTTTGCAAGCTTGGAAAAGCTATTTCCTCGAACTCCCCTGACTAGGAGTTGCAGCCTTTTCCATCCTTCTGCAGTATTGCAGCCTACACTTGCATCTCTGGCAGCATCCACTTTGAAACTCTCCAGATCTGGCGCTGGATTCTTTTCAGGGACCACAATGGCCAGGCCAACACCCTCAGACACCACAATTCTGTGACCGAGGTACCACATCCTTCACTTTTAAAGCTGTAGGGCAGCAGGAGTCGGCCATAGCAATTAAGGCGAAGACTCCGTGGACTGGGACATGAGTGGGCAACTGGTAGCCCTTCAGCCATCATGACTGCACTCCAGCTTCCATTATCCCCCTCTACTGGCTAAGGCGGATGAGAATGGTAACCTGACAGCACGCAGGAGGTCACAAAGTGCCCAACCCTGGCCTAGAATCTTCCAGCTACCACTAGAAATCAGACCATTCTAGGAGAGCTTGGTAAAATTATTTTTTAAATAACTCCAGCTCTCATAGCCAAGATGTAATCCCAAAAGGTAACCTTTCTCCACTCTGAAGGGCCAGTTCTTAAGCATTGCTCATACTACTTCTTCAAACTTTCTGGTCAACTCACGAGAAAGGGACACCATTCAGATACCGCATTCTCTTTTCTCTTTATTGCTGTGTCGGCTTTCCTTTCTTGTCTGGGTTACAAATTATATATCAGTCTTATTCTCACCTTCCCTATAAGTGCTAGTAACTTATAATTAGGTGGAGTCTTATTCTCACCTTCCCTATAAGTGCTTAGTTGTCAGGCTAGGTGGCTGCCTCAGGGTAACAACTTTTAAGTACCAAGAATGGGTAGCAAATTATTGTCATTACCATTAAAAAAAAACTAATATGGCCAGGATGGGTAAAAACGCTTGGGAGATTTCTACTTCTTCTGCCCAGGAAAAAAAAAAGATGGCTTTAGGCAGTATACAACTTGGGAGTAATTTGCTGTTCTGTCTCAGGTGGCAAAATGTCTTGGGTCAAAACTGTTTCTATGTTCCTCCAACTACTGAGACACTCAGGTCAGGTGGCAAAATGTCTTGGGTCAAAACTGTTTCTGTGTTCCTCCAGCTATTGAGACATAACAGTATTAACATTCAGATATGAAGTGCCCTGTTGCTGGTGGGGATTAAGTAATGGAAATAAACTAACAGTGGATGCATTTCTGTTCCAATGTGCAAGATGTTCATGTCCATCTCTTTATGCCTGACACACAGGGGTAGACTTTAAGCAAAATGTCTTGGGTCAAAACTGTTTCTGTGTTCCTCCAGCTATTGAGACATAACAGTATTAACATTCAGATATGAAGTGCCCTGTTGCTGGTGGGGATTAAGTAATGGAAATAAACTAACAGTGGATGCATTTCTGTTCCAATGTGCAAGATGTTCATGTCCATCTCTTTATGCCTGACACACAGGGGTAGACTTTAATGATGCCAAGAGACACGAGAAAGGTCTCAGTGAGGAACCGGGCCTTCTCGGTGGTGGCCCCATCTCTCTGGCACAAATTGTCATTAGAGGTGTGCCAGGCCCCCTCCCTCTGAGGATTCAGAAAGTTAAGGCAGAATTTTTCAAAACTGCCTTTAAAATATATATCACCATCAGCAGGAGAGTACCTGTAACATGTTATGCCTCCATCTTTTTTCTCCCTTTTAGTGGTTTCCACTGTATTATTTCTTCTTTGTCTCTGACAGGGCAGGAAAAAGTTCCGAATAGACTAGTCGTAGAATGAGCTGGAATTTTCAGCATGTATACGTTACTGAAACAGCAATGTCTAGTAAGTTGGCTCTGGCAAGTTGTGAGAATGGCTGATGGTCGGATTCCAAAAGATCTCCTGTATGGAGAATTAGTGCAGGGAAAGTGACCCAGAGGGAGAGTATGGCTGCCATACAAGGATATCTGCAAGCAGGATCTGAAGGCCTTAGGAATGGACCTCAACAGATGGGAAACCTTGGCATCTGAGCTTTCAGCCTGGAAGCAGGCAATGCTTTACCTCAACAGATGGGATGGAGAGACCCTTGTCCAGCAGGCTGAGGCAAAGAGGCAGTCCCGAAAGCAGCAAAATCAGGGAGCTGGACAGGGGACAGATTGGATTTGTCTTCAGTGTGGAAGGGATTGTCACTCTCGAATTGGCCTTCTCAGCCACACTAGACGCTGTTCCAAGTCCTCCATACAGAGCACGTTACCATAGTCTCTCGAGACTGAAGAGTGCCTACCTCTGACAGGGTGAGTCTCTCGAGACTGAAGGATGCCTACCTCTGACAGGGTAATTCTTTTCTTGTTAATGTTTTTTTGTTATACTGTTTGTTTTCTGTCTGTGGGGTGTGAGTGTGTGTCAAGGCTTCCTTGCTCATTCGTTTCATCATGTTCACCTCCCAGAGTAGTGTTTGTCACTAATTAGGCAGTATAAAAATTCCATAAATAAATGAATAAACACCACAAAGTCCCATGGCCTGAATCTTCACTTTTAGATTAATTGCTCCCCTATCAGTAGCCTTCTAAAAGCAACAGGTGCACAGATGATAGGAAAAATGGTGGGGCAGGGCCATTTCTATCATACTGCTACAATTCAAGCATTTGGGTTTCCTTCAGGTGTCTTCTGAAGGGATCTTAAGAACACATGTTCTTTAGCCTACAAGACCCAGAATCCCTCAGCCATCAGGGTCAACGGAGCCAGGGTGTTCTGGGGGTTGTAGATCAAGGAAGAAGCATGTCCACACGGTGGTTCTGACACACCTGATTTCCAGCACGCATGCCCCTCAGAGGCCTGATTCCCTTCTATTTCTCCCAGTCCTTGGTCTCAACAAACCTTTGTCCTGGGACCGGCGGAGGGCGATAAACTTGGCTCCAATGTCAGAAGGCGAATGCTTCCTGGCTTCAGCAAAGGCCAAAAGTGTGCCGTGAGGTGTGGCTGTGATGAGAGGGATCCTGTAGGTGTTCACCTCCCCGATCACGCTGCCACTCACCCACAGCAATTGCTCCATGGTGATGATGGGTTTAACCTGCCAAGATAA